CAAATGGAATGATGTCTCCATCAAAAGCCAGATTGACTTTATACTTACCAGAGTTCAAGGAAGAAGGAGAATTCTTGATTCAAGAGCAATCCCTAATGGTCTATGTGACACTGACCATAAAATAGTTGTGTTAACAGCAAAACATCTTACATTAAAGAAACACAGAAAGAAATTAATAACAAGGATCTCATCAAGATAGCAAATCTGAAACAGGAAGGAATAAAAGAACAGTTACAACAGAAAGTAGAGACAGCATTCAAACAACTTCCACATGTAGTTGGCAATATTGAGGAAGAATGGAGTATATATAAATACACTATACTTAGTATTGCAGAAGAATTATGTGGAAAACGGAAGAGTGGAAACAGACGGGGAAATAACAAATATTCACCTTGGTGGTGCGAAGAAGTAAAAGAAGCAATTAAAAAGAAAAAAGACTTATATAAACAGTGGATAAAATCAAAAAAAGAAGAAGATTATATAAACTATAGACTGCAAAGGAGAGAAACCAACAGGAGTGTCAAGAAAGCAAAACAAGCATCCTGGGAATATTACGGTGAGTCATTAGCAGAAAATGAGAAAACAGCCAGCAGGAAATTTTTCAAAGTAGTTAAAAATATGCGGAAAAGAGATGAGAGCTACAACCCCACTGAAATAATTAATGATAAGACAGGAAGGCCATTGATAGATCCACCCGAGATAGCAGAAAGATAGAGGGAATACTTCAATGAGCTCTTTAATCCTCTAGGGGATCATCAGGAAAGAACAACTGAAGAGCACAGAGCAACAGTGTTAGAGCCACACATACTAATAGATGAAATAGAAAAAGTCATTAAACAGTCTCCCAAATATAGAGCACCAGGAGCTGATAGATTACCAACAGAAATAATTCAAGCAGCAGGTGAAAGCAGCATCAAATGGATTCACAGAATGTTCAATGCAGCATGGGTACAACAAACGGCCCCTATTGATTGGCAACATGCAATAGTTATACCATTGTGGAAGAACAAAGGAAGCAAACGAGAATGCGGTCAATATCGAGGCATCTTTCTTTTAAGCCATGTTGGCAAAATGTATGCCAAGATAATAGAAACAAGACTGAGACCAGTGATAGAACCACAGCTGGCAGAAGAACAGATGGGATTTAGGAGAAATAGAAGCTGCACAGATGCAATCTTCACACTTAAACAGTTAATAGAAAAGAACATTAAATACACTAAGAACTTATTTGTGGCATTCGTAGACCAGGAGAAGGCATTTGACAGAGTCGACAGACAATTACTATGGAAAATAATGGCAAGATATGGAGTAAGCGAACACCTCATCGAAGTGTGCAAAAGTTTATACAGGGATTGTAGAAGTGTAGTTAGAATAAATCAGGGAACATCTCATCCTTTCACAGTGACATCTGGAGTAAGATAGGGGTGTGTTTTATCACCACTGCTGTTTATCACCTACATCGACAGTATATGCAAGAATGTCAAGCCCATGAATGAAGATCTTAGTAAGATCAACGAATTACTCTTTGCAGATGACCAGGCCTTGATAGCAGATACAGCCATGAAATTGCAACAACATCTAACATCCATGAATGAAGAATGTAAAACAAATAATATGAGAATCAACACCGAAAAGACAGAAGTAATGTCAATAGGAAAAAAGAAGACAGATCTAAACATAGCAATACAATACAAAGACATTAAACAAGCATCTGAGTTTAAATATTTAGGAACTACATTTACCGAAGATGGGAAATTGGGTAAAGAAATTGACATTAGATGCAGTAAAGCAAACCAAGTATTGGGACAGCTAGCGCCCCTCTTACAGCATAAGACAATCCCAATCAGCACAAAGAGAAATTTTATTCAAAGCATATTTATTCCAACTCTGTGCTACCAGTGCCAGACATGGTCACTCACAACAAACCATAAAAGAAAATTAGTAACCACGGAAATGAGATGTCTGAGAAGAGCTGTAGGAGTGACCATAAGAGATAAGATCAGGAATGAGATCATAAGAGAACAAGTCGGCACAACTCTGGATTACATACAAAGACAGCAAGTAAAATGGTTTGCCCACTTAGAGAGAATGCCTTGTGACACCATACCATACAAAGCATACATGGAAAGAGAAGAAGGACGTAGAGCACGGGGCAGACCAAGAACAATATGGAAGGATAACATCAGAGAAACTCTACAACAGCACGATGTGCCTATGGTCGAGGCAGCCAGAAGAGCTAGAAACAGAACCTTATATCTCCCTCGACACCCACAGCGGTAAAAGAGGAAGTGAAGAAGAAGAAGAAGTGATAGAATCACAGTACTGCAAGAAAACTAGATAAAGATATACAAACGCTGTCACTATCTGTTATTCTTTACACCTCGTACAGTGTGGTAATTTGGTCTGTTTTTATAGACGCTCAGTGGTCAATGGAGTCTCAGAGAACGCAATGAACCTTAAATATTTTTCATGAAAAAGAGTAAAATTTAACACAAGGGAGGCGGGAAAAAACTTCACAAGCAACCAGAATAGAGAATCTATAGTTAGGCGAATCAGATGTCAGAAGTTTCAACTAGTCTTGAGCCTACCACACTCTGATTTTGATCAAGATTCATAGTGGAGGGTACAAGGCAGAAATAAGAATAAATACGTATGGCTAATGATAAAATTCAATAAATTTACCAAGTGCCGGGCATTGAAAAAATCAGGACGAACTTTGTGGCCCTCTTAGACAGGGATGCCGGAAACAGGGGGTCAGACAATCTGGGCCCAAAAATATTTTTGTTTGTTTTAGTATCCAGAAGCCATGAGTTGTTGACCCTTAGGCTCGGTATTATACATATCGCAACCATTCGGCCTTGATTCCATGACAAATATCTTAAATCTTGGAAAAATATGGCTTTTCTGCCTCCCCCGGAAGTGAACCCGGACCACAAGGAGTTCGTCACCCGGTCTCTGCTCAATCCGGTTTAGCCAACTACGCTAGAGAGCCGGGCTAACAATCTTTTTAGGGAAGGGGACCGAAAATGGCTACCGCCTCCCACGCACACTCATTTTCCCTACAATCAAATTTATAAATTTTGTTTCAAGAATTCAAAAAGGAGGCTCCCACGAGAAAAATGTTCAGGGGCTGAGTCCCCCCCCCCCCCCCCCCACATATTTTCTTTGTGTCGGTGCGCTTGGTCTCAGACGTGGTCTTTTGTCGCGAGAGTGTAGCCACTGATGTGTGACGATGACATGATGGTTGCTTGACACTGCATAATATATACTAGTAAGCATCTCTCTCTCTCTCCTCTATTTATCTACCTAGTTATCTCCGGTCTTTCCTCTCCTCACTTTTCTCCCCTCTCTCTCCCTTCCCTTCTCGCCTTTCTCTCTCTTCCCTCTCCTCTATTCACACAAACTTTCATTGATCCACCCATTCATCCCCGTTACACATGGATGCACTGTCCTGTGTGCTAGGATTTGAACACACTTCCCTTATACAGTGTACGTAGCTCGTTTTGGCTACCGAGATGGTAAGTGTTTGTACACACTGGAGGTATGCGGTTCTGGCTCGACAGATATTGTGTATAACAGTCATTCTTACTGAATCTGTGTGACAGCTGACAGTCAGAGAGATCCACTGCAGCACGAGACCCTTGTTAACATGATTTCTGATTAACATACATTTAGACCTATCTATCCATCCACCCATATATCCTTTCATCTATTCATCCCAATCCACTCAGTTTATTCATCTATTTGTCCATTCATTCATAGCTCCCAACGTTCACTTGCACACTCACCCCCTGTACATCACTAGTTTCTGCTACTTACACAGCAGGTATCTTAGGGAACACGATGCTGTTGTTTGTGCTTGCGCTCGATGGATACTTTGTGTAACAATCATCATTACCGTCTTTACTTGGTAGATGACAGTAAGAGAGAAGCATCACATCATGAGACCCTTGTTTTTACCAGAATATACACGTAGGCCAATCCATCCATCTACCATTGCACCTATCAATGAACATAGCCATTATCCCACCCTCCACTCACCCCATCATCCACTCATGCTATTTTCCACCGCTCCCTTACATTCTGGTTGTTATCAGCTTTGTGCTTGGGCTCGACTCATACTTTGTATAAAAATCACCCCCACTTTCTCTAGTTGATATCTGACAGTAAGAGAGAAGCACTGTGTCAATAGACCCACGTTTTTACCTAATTTCATATATAGCAGGATCCATCAATCCATCTACCATTCCACTCATACACGAATATAGACACACCCCCCTCCTCCCCTTACATAGTATTGGGTTTTCTAGGGAATTCCCTATGAAATATTGGAGAACCTGAGACCAGATGAAATAAAATAAAAGAACCAAAAATTGCACTAGAAAACACAAAGAAATATCAATTGCCGAAGACCTCACAAGTAAATGTTGATCAGTTTATTTCTTTTCATACAATATTTGAAACACAAATATATTAATACTGTTGCAATACAAATAAGCAAAGACTAATGATTGTTTTCTTCTTCTTCTTTTTCTTTTCTTCTTCTTCTTCTGCATGGTAACCCCCACCTTCTCAACCCTCGCTATTTTTTCTTCCCCCCTGGAGTTGACAGTTGATTACCCAAAGAAGAAGAAGTATTAAAAATGGACAAAACATAATCTATCCTTTAACAAAAGACCAAACATAATGAAACAGGAAAATTACAATAATGTAAAATCCTCAAATTTAAATGAAGCAAATATGACCATAAGGAAATAAAAGCAATATCTGGGCTAAACCAGTACTAACAAGTTCAAATAGCTTGAGAAAAACACAAGATTAAAAACCTCCATGAAGGAAACTTCATGAAACTAAACTTTATGGATGTTTTATCTCAGTGAATCAATTCTTTCTGTAATGAATACCTTAATTTTAACATCTGGAAACTTTTTTTTTCAACTGAACATAATGTCAATAAACCTGAAATAAACTCAATGGAATGAAACTAATCAAACAAAACTTTATTGATGTTTGGCTTTGTAAGCTGCGATTCTTTGATTGCTTCCAATTTTCTCGACCAGTGCTTTTAGCAAAGGATACCTGTCAGGTAATGGCCCCGTGAATGAACCGATGAACCCAGTAATGGCATCATAGACAATCAAATCAGCAAGGGTCACCTCATCATCAACAAAATACCGACCATTGTTCTCTTTCAGTAACCTCTCATAAAAGCCCCAAAACTTTGGTGCTGCTTCTTCTTGTAATTTCTTCTCGACCTCTGCTTTCTTTTCAGGATCTGCCGTGAAAACTTTAACCACTTCCTGAAAGAAATCCTCGTTGAGCTGTGCAACCTGGTCAATCTTCAGGCTGTCCAGGTTTGATCGACCATACAAGTTAAATTCCCTGGCAAAAAAATTAGCAAGAGCCAAACTTTGACCATAAACCTTGCCATCTATTTCCACAAATGGAAGTTGCCCAAATGGAGATTTTGGTTTGATTTCTGGCCATTTGTCTCGACTGATACGGTTGTCTTCAAACTCTTTACCAGCGTACACAAGAACCAGACGAATAATCTCGGCCCGTCCAGTCAGATCAAAGTAGTTCACAATTATTTTACTGCTGGCCATTTTTTCTGTGGAAATAAATTAGGAACAATGAGAAATGCTAAAAATATGCAAACATACAAAAATCAAATTAGAATATAAAGAAAGTGTAGCAATTGAACTTAAATCCCATATTCCTTCTTCTTCCTGTTCCTCTTATTAGGCAGTTGGCACACTACATTGTGGTTTACAGATTGTATGTGGGTTAGTGGGTGCATTCTTTTATTTTTTTCCCTGCAAAATGGAACCTTGGAACCCATATGAAGATAGAAAGACTAAGACTACCAGACTACCAGAAAGAAAATTCCTGTATGAATATATAAGAAAATATGCAAATAATTTGCATAGACACAGTTGTTAGATTGCTTGCTCATAAAACTATAGATCTGCGTTTGATCCAGTAACAACAGAATCTTACAGGTAAAGAAGTACTTTGAAGTGACTGCTGCTCTAGAGCAGAGGTTCTCAAACTGGGCGCCGGGGCAATAATTAAGCATTTTTCAAAATCTGCTTGAGTTCAGGGAAACAGAAAAACCACGAAGGAAGCCAAGAAGAATTCTGGATGCAGATGTATTCAGAAAACATTGCAATTGGCAAGGCTGCAGTGAATTCTCAATGTACACTCACATTAAAAAAACAGATACGGAAGCAACCTTCAAGTGATTTAAGGGTACAATTAACTAAACTTCCCATAAACATAAAGGAAATCATGAAAATTTCAGTTTCATGCATCTCATTTAGGACAACTGAACATTAAATTTGCACTTTTTTTATATTTTTTCCTAAGTATTCTTCTTCGCGTTCACCAGCTGTAGACTCTGGCGGAAAGTTCTGGTTGCTTGTCCACTACTGAACTGCAGTCCTGCTCCAGAACCTGAGTGTTGCGTGTGCATCAGTTTTACAGATCTCATTCTCTTAAATACAGACTGTTGGTTCCTTGCCTCTCAGGCAGATGCACTCCGACTTCAAAGGAAGCTCCCCAATTAGTTGACTCTTACGACATGCTTTTGTGTAGGCAGTGGGTCGGTTCTTGTTTTCCCCACAATGGGGCCCCGGAACCCACATGGGGGTTCCTAAGTATTCAAACAGCTTTAACAGTAGGCCGTGAAATATTTTGTTACCAGCAAGGGTGCTGCGGTTAAAAAAAGTTTGGGAAACTGCTCTAGAGGACTGAGCACACATGGGACTACCCAGTGTGCAGTGAAGTCAATCGTGATAGTGTAACGAACAATTTTTTACCCAGGTGCACTAGGAAAGTGAATGATTGTTACTGACATTATGGCCCTGATGTCCTAGAAGAAGAAGAAGAAGAAGAAGAAAAAAAAAGAACACTTGCTTGTCTGCTTGGTGACCACACGTGCCAACCCCCTGGAGTTTTAATAAAACTGACCAAGACTGAAAATTTCCTGTTTCTTTTTCTCCTCCTGTAGTTTCATAGGTTAGTTCCAGAGCATTATAAGGATATGTTTCTTTTTACTTCCTTTTTTTTGGTTTTCAGTTATGTTAGAGACTTTGTTTTTAAAAACACTGTCTCAATAGAACTGGAGGGGTAGTTAATAAAACCTTGAGAAAAGAACATGCAGGTTTGAAGAATGCTTCGATCAAATATTCACCCTGAGACATATTTTGTAAAAAAAAAAAAAAAAACGTTAACAAGATTTCTGATAGCTTACACAGAAAACTGCAATGGCGAATTGTGCAGTGCTATGGTATACTAAATAATATAGTATATATTATTAAGGCAATATATAAAAGTTCAGAGCGTGCAGTATGAACAAATGATGTCCTAAGTGATTAGTTGGAATTTGAAACTGGAGTGAAACAAGGATGCAAATTATCTCCCCTGTTTTTGGTATAACTACTGTTAGGGTGATTAAAAAAAATGTTGGAAACCCTGGCACTGACTGGGTAGAAAACACACAGCAGGAAAGATCTCAGTTTTGCTGATAATACTGTTCTGCTAAGTAAAATGCAACAATAACATGGAAAGAAAAAAAGAGATGAATTAGCAAATATGGCAGCAAAAGTTGGATACTACAAACAGGTTATGAAAAGACAAATATATTGAAGAGACCAATAACAACAGATCAAGCAGATGTAAAACTAGAGGCAAAAGGAAGTGACAAATCAATTTATTTATTTAGGTAGTAATTTTTATAGTGAAGGAAATACTAGGAACAATTATGACACACACTGGCAAGTAATTAGCAGCTTGTAAAAGCCTGAACTTTTTATGGGACTCTAAATTGCATTGTTTTAAAATCAAGTAATTTATTTTCAATTCTAATGTTATTTTAGTTTTAAAATATACCAGTAAAAATTGGGGAACCACTAAAGATATGGAACAAAAGTAAATGCATTCAAAAAAATGTGTCCTAAGAAAATGATGAAAATAAAATGAATTCAAAAGATGTGAATAAAGAAGAGCAATGTCTGGGCATCAATTGGTATCAACAGTAACAAGATAGAGAAGATGACGCTATGTTAGACACAACCTGAGAAGAAAGACGGAAAGAATTACCAAACAAGACTAAACTGGAAGATAAAGGGATTAAAGAGGTGAGGATTCACTAATAAAAAAGCTGAAAACAAACATTGTTGAGAGAAGCAAAAGGTGCAGGACTGGACTCCATACATAATTTTGAATTGATTGCATTGGATACAAGAGAATAGAGGAATACACCATAAGCCCTATGTGACATGTACATATTTTGTCAATGCTTCTGTAATAAACACTATATGATAAGTACCAGCACTTTTTTGTGACAATTTGTGGTGGGTACTGACACGTTTTTTTACACTTCTGGTGAGTACTGTCATCACCCCCCTCCCTCTTTCCCCCTTCCGACACAAGCCCTACACTGATGTGTCTGCACCCTTAGACTGATGTATTGAATGGTTTCTGTTTTGTTTACACTTCTGATGATTACTAGCACCACCCCCCCCCCCCCCACCAGACACAAGCCCTACACTGATGTATCTGCAGCTGTGGACTGATGTATCTGCAGCTGTGGACTGATGTATCTGCAGCTGTGGACTGATGTATATGCAGCTGTGGACTGATGTATTGAATGGTTTTTGCCAGGAAGGCTAACCCAAGCAACAAATGCTTGAAGGTGTAGGGTGAAAGGTGCAAATATTGGACCCATGTTGTATATGACGCATTTACATATTTAGATAAACTCAGAAGAGGAAGAAGAAGAAGAAGAAGAAGAAGCAGAAGAAGAGCCTTGTCTTTGAGAGATTATTTTGTCCGGCTTTGCTAATCTAGGTTATAACTGTACACAAAGACCACAGCTATAACCAGAGAAACAAAGACAGCCAGCAGAAACCACAAGAAGGGGCAGCGAATCCACAACATGGCACAAAGAATAAGACCACACTTGTAACTAGTTTTTTTCCCTGATGGTAAAGTACAGGTACCTGTTTTAGAGAGCCGTTTTTCAATGCTGCTGCAACAGACAATTTGTGGTGTGTACCTGTACCTGTGTTATTTTGTCCCCTAGAACAAAGCTCCTACCCGTAATCAAGGTTATACTCAACAAGGCAAATTTTTTACCTCTCTATAAAATAAGGTAAGATAAAAGAAAAGACATATTTCTTTTTGCCAGCTTTGGTAATCCTTTAGGTTAGTTTCCAGGTATTGGTGGTGCTTTGCTTAAGAAAAAAAAATCGGCACGTTCAACAAGTATCCACAAAGGGACAGCTTTAGGCTTTAGACTGCAGTTGTGACTATAATATCGCTTAGCACTGCATGCCACTAGGAGCGCTGCAAAGGACTCCTGCAATGTTGGTGCGATCAAAGGAGACAGACCCAAATGCTGTCCCGACCGGCGATGAAGTCGTCTACCGGCGAGCCAACGGGCTCGATTAAAATTCCCGGTCAGGATTTAGAATTTATAGCTGTTGAAGGCCTCTGTCCTTTGCAGGTTTAGCTGGTGTCCCTCAACAGGCATGTCCAGAAAAGGTTAACGATTATTAACTATAAATGAACATATAGTGTATAGAAGAAACAAAAAAAAAAAAAGTCAACTTACTATGTACTTTGCAAATTATTTCAGTCTAAGTGCAATGGACGCCACCAGTTCTCACAACGCCTGCAGAGAAAGTAATCACGAGTGTGCCGATTAGGCATATTTATAACAATGCTGGCCACGCTGTGACCTGTGGATTGGAGACGTTAATGTAAAATCGGTTATAGGGCATTCAAGGTTTGAAGGTTTTAACAGCGGATAAACATCATGACACAAGGATAGTTACCCATGCTCCGTTCTTCTTCAAACTCAAGTCTGAGTCAGAAGAAGCTCAGCATCGTGCACAGGCTCTGTAGCACCGGCGAGGGTCCTAAAATCCCTTTTTTAGGTAGATTTTTTAGCCTGGGCAGAGCCGTTAGGCTACTATTTTCGATGTCCAACTGCAAGTTTTTTTTTTTTACGTACGCAACGATGCACATGGGCGTATTATCTCACTACCCAGAGCCCGAGAGGGGGAGGGGGGGGGGGTTACTATGAGTCAAAGTCCACGTGAAAAAATCCCGGCACTCGCCGGGGATTAAAACCGGAACCTCCAGGACTCGAGGCGGACACAATACCTCGAAACCACGCAGCCCTCAGTGCATTACACAGAAGCTGTAACAAGAGAGAAGCAATTGTTTAGTATATGCTAAAGGAATCAGAATGGGGTTGAGGGAAGTGGGGAAAAAAAGGAGAAAGGGGGGGGGGGGGGGGGTTTGTGATCAAGGTTGATAATTTGTTTCTGTCTCCACCCTTCCAAGGGCAATTGGCATGTTTTGTTTCGACTTACAGCAAGGTTGCGATATCAGCTTTTTGTTTGGTCGGGATTTCAGCACACAACCCCCCCCCCCTCCCCCTTTTCCAATCAGTCGTCCTTTACGACATGGTTTTTACGGAGTCAGTGGGTCAATTCTTTGTGCTCCCAACCCCCTACAATGGGGCCTGTCAATCACAGGGGAGATCAAATACATATAGCTTTCATTGCAGACACACTAATCTATTGTTCGGGTC